TCCAGATTAGAATACAATGGTGCAATCTCGGCTCACAGCAACCTCTGCCTCCCGGGTTCAAGCAATTCTCCTGCCTCAGTCTTCCAAGTAACTGGGGCTACAGACATGTACTACCACACCCAGGTAATGCTTTGTGTTTAGTAGAGATGAGATTTCACCATGTTGGTCAGACTGGTCTCGAACTCCTGACCACAGGTGATCCACCTACCTTGGCCTCCCACAGTGCTGGGATCATTGGTGGGCACCACTGTGCCAGGCCGATAATATTTTTGTTAAAAAGAAACAGGCCAGACATGGTGGCTCATACCTATAGTCTCAGCACTTTGGGAGGCCACGTCAGGATTGCTTAAGCTCAGGAGCTCAAGACCAACCTGGGCAACATGGTGAGACTGCTTCACCACAAATAATCAAAACATTAGTCCAGTGTGGTGGTGAATGCCTGTAGTCTCAGCCTCTTGGGAGCCTGAGGCTGGAGGATCACTTGAGCCAGAAGATTGAGGCTGCAGTAGCCCGGGTGACAGAGAGAGACTCTGTCCTAAAACAAACGAAAACACAAAGATGGATAATAAATTTTTAAAGACTTACACCAAAATGTTAGTGTATATCTCAGGGTGACATTTGTTTTCTTCTTTTCACTTACTTGTGTTCTATAATGTATTAAAGTTACCTGCTCCAAGCCTATACACAAGAAGCAGAAAATTACAACTGATGAAAGTTTATGCTTTTAAAAGTGTCTCTGCAACAGTATATGTTATTTATCAAGATGAATCCTAGTAGTTTTCTACATTAGGTAAAATATTCAAAAAAGTTATATGTATATCTTCATAATTCTAGGCCTCTAGACACATACAATTTAATTGATGAGACAAATAAATAAAATACATGCATATAAACTTCAGAAAATAGGGCAAAAGTAGGCCGGGTGCGGTGGCTCATGACTGTAATCCCAGCACTTTGGGAGGCTGAGGTAGATGGATCACCTGAGGTCAGGAGTTTGAGACCAGCTGGCCAACAAGGTGAAACCTCATCTCTACCAAAAATACAAAAAATTAGCCAGGTGTGGTGGTGGGTGCCTGTAATCCCAGCTACTCAGGAGGCTGAAACAGGAAAATTGCTTGAACTTGGGAAGCGAAGTTTGCAGTGAGCCGAGATCGAGCCACTGCACTCCAGCCTGGGCATGGGCAGCAAGAGCAAAACTCCAACTCAAAAAAAAGGAAAATAGGGTAAAAATATTAAATCATCAAACCCAGACAAACTAAAGAGAAAACTTTAGAGGAAACTACAGAGGAATATTTCTTTTCATTTTCTAATATTGTTTTCTAATATTTCTTTAGAGGAAACTACAGAGGAATATTTCTTTTCATTTTCTAATATTGTTTTCTAATATTTCTTTAGAAAACTAAAGAGGAATATTTCTTTTCATTTTTACATGAAAAAATATAATTTAAGCTAATACTGAAGACAACAAGCAAGCTATTGATGGTCCGGCCTAAGGTCAATGAAAACATAACTTATATAACCCTTTGGAAAAGTACTTCAATCCAAATGTCCTAGGTATTGCTTATAAACAAGCTGTTATGTTGTAACTACCTAGGAAAAACAGTTTAAATCTATTACAGCACACCTAGATATGACAAACTATAAACACAAAAGACCCTATATCCTTTCCCCTGAGTAAAATTTAATCCTGAAGAAGGACATCCAGTTGCACTTAATTTTAGTTATTTTTTTGTACTCTATCATGAAAAGGTGGAACAAGCATAGTTTCATCAGCTTCACAGTCCCTATTCCTCATCCCTCCAGCATTGCTAGGGAAAAAGGAGCCTCCTGACACCAAATGCTCTGTGGGGAAGAACTATCGGCCATAAAATGTTTAGTCAAAAGACAAACTCATAGATCTCTGAGGACGAGCTTTCTATTACTTATGCACGGTATAACCCTCAAAAACATGGCAGAGTTATTTCTTTTAGTATATGCCACATAGTTTTCCATTGTATTATTGTGTTTATGTTATCCATATAACCCAAATTCACCCCCCAAAAATCTTGAGTTTGCCTGAATTATCCATATGAAATAACACCCACAATCTAAGCCCAGACGGCAGACATAATGTGTTAACCTCTTCTCACTGTAAGAGTAGGACTAAAAGTTAGAATTAACATTTGCTGGATTTAAAAAGAATAAGCCAAATCATTAAGAATATTTATTTATTTATTTATTTATTGGAACAGGGTCTCATTTTGTCACCCAGGCTGCTGGAGTGGAGTAGGGCAATCACGGTTAACTGCAGCTTCAAACTCCCAGGCTCTTTTGCTCAAAGCGATAGGAAAAAAAAAAAAAAAGTTAAAAAAAACACACAAGCGGTGTGCCACAAGAATATTGAAGAAAACAAACAAACACACACACACACACAAACTCCCAGGCTCAAGCAATCCTCCTGCTTCAGCTTCCCAAATAGTTGAGACTACAAGCAGCTATCAAACCTGGCTAATTATTATTATCTTTTTTTATTTTTATTTTTGCAAAGCAAGACGAAGTCTTACTATGTTGCCCAGGTTGGTTTCAAACTCCTAAACTCAAGCAATCCTCCCAGCCTCATAGCCTCAGCCTCCCCAAAGTGCTGGGATTACAGGCATGAGCCACTGCACCTGGCCTATACCTTGTTTTCTTACATCCAGAAATAATCATTTAATTTGTCTATAACTTAAGAATGAAATTTTGTCTAAATTTAGATAAAGGATAGAACTAAAAAATGTCAAAGAATTGTTTACAGAGATTTTTTTTTTTTTAAACTATATTCCAAGGTCACGTGTGGTGGCTCACATCTGTAATCCTAGCACTTTGGGAAGCCAAGGCAGAAAGATTACTTGAGACCAGGAGTTCAAGACCAGCCCAGGCACCATGGCAAGACTCAGTCTCTACAAATAATCTAAGAATTTAGCTGTGTGTGGTAGTGCATGCCTGTAATGCTAGCTACCAGGGAGGCTGAGGTGGAAAAATTGCTTGAGCTCAGAAGTTCGAGGTTACAGTGAGCTATGATTGTGCCACTGTCCTCCAGCCTGGGAGACGGAGTGAAACCCAGCCTCAAAAATAAATAAATAAATAAATAAAATTAAATCCGGGTGCAATCGCTCACACCTGTAATCTCAGCACTCTGGGAGGCTGAGACGGGTGGATTGCTTGACTCCAGGAATTTAAGACCAGCCTGGGCAACTTAGTGAAATGCTGTCTCTACTAAAAATACAAAAAAATAGCTGAGTGTGGTGGTGTGTGCCTGTAATACGAGATACTTAGGAGGCTGAGGTGGGAGAATCACTTGAACGTGGGAGGTTGAGGCTACAGTAAGCTAAGATTGTGCCACTTCACTCCAGCCTGGGCAACCAGAATGACACCCTGTCTAAATAAATAAATAAATAAAATTAAAACTGCATTTCATATGATTTTGAGCCATTCTCTTCTAACCTCTAGGGACATAGACAATGGAGAGAAAGACTGGGATGGAAAGCCAGGTCTTCCTAGATCTAAGCCAGCTTCCTAGATCCTAGTTAACCTGATCAACTACAGGGTAACTAAAATGTAAAACAAGGAGGAGAGGAGAGAAAATGAAATAAAATACAAAACAAAACGCCTATTTTTTGTGTACTGAAAAGTAATCCTCTCCATCTTTCTCCTTTCAGAAAGCAAAGTCTAGAAGAAGCAAGAGTTCAAAGAAATGCCCTGGGCCAGCATGATCTGCTTCTCCAGCAGTGCTGTGGGAACCCATCACCTTGCTCCCAACCAGATCACTGGAACTTCTGACCAGATCACACGTAACAGGCTCTCTGGATCCACAGAGCCTGACCTCTGGACTAGACAGACTCACCCCTTCTAAACTTCATTTCAGAGAGTATCAAAATCTTTCTAACACCTCCAAACGAGACACCATCCCCTAGGCATTCTGCAGTACTACTGAAGATATTTGTTAACTGTGTACTCCAGGTATGTGTGCGGTAACTGCTTCCAGGTGCCACAAGGTCCCTGAGCCAATTATTCTATTTATTTATTTATTTATTTTTTCACTCTAGGGATGAGTTTACACTTAGCCTTTTATTTCTATTAGATTAGATGACTTTTGTCCCTAGGGAACCTTTGTCCTATTAGATACATTCCTCCATATGTAAAAGTTGTAATGCTAAAGTTAATGTTCTTTATCATCTTCCCTTGAACTATAATCCTTTCCTATTAAAAAATAATCAAATTGACTGGGTATGGTGGCCCACGCCCGTAATGCCAGCACTTTGGGAGGCCGAGGCAGGTGAATCACCTGAAGCTGGGAGTTCAGGACCAGCTCCCAACCAGATCACTGGAACTTCTGAGCAGATCACACATAACAGGCTCTCTGGATCCGCAGAGAAACCACATTTCTACTAAAAATACAAAATTAGCTGGGCGTCGTGGTGCATGAGTGTAATTCCAGCTACTCAGAAGGCTGAGGCAGGAGAATCACTTGAACCCGGTAGGCGGAGGTTGGGGTGAGCCGAGATCACATCATTGCACTCCAGCCTGGGCAGCAAAAGCGAAACTTCATCTCAACAATAAGAAAACTGGAACAGCAGAAGGATGAGGACTAAACGCTGACAATTTTTTCCCTCTTGCCCAAATTCCTATCTAAAGTGTCTGGAAAATCACACCCTACAAATCATAAAATCTCTCCAAACCTGAATCTGGCATAACATCACATCACAGATAAAGAAGGAAATCAAAATATTTTACCCTGAGGCCTCTAGATGACTTCAGACCAAACCAAACCAAACCAAAGAAACAAACAAAAAAAACCCAATATGTTTCTTTGCTACTAAGGGCAGTCACCTATGAGACCTTGTCTACATAGGAACCTTATGTAGAACCACAACTCCTTATCTTAACCCACCTTTCTACTGATTCCTGGTTTTTACATAATAATTTAACTCTTTTAACAAATTGCCAATCAGAAAAGCTTTGAATCTAGCTGTAAGCACCACCCCCACCTCTCCCCTCCAATTCAAGTTGTCCTGCCTTTCTGGATAGAACCAGTGCATACCTAACATGTATTGACTGATGTCTTATGTCTCTCTAAGATGTATAAAACCAAGCTATAAAGCAAACATCCTGTGCACATGTTCTCAGGACCTCTTGAAGTTATACCTCAGGCCGTGGTCACTCATATTTGGCTTAGAATCAATCTCTTCAAATATTTTACAGTGTTTGGCTCTTTTCATCAATAAAGAGAAATAATAACCATCATTTTAACACCTTTACAGAACTATTTTTTTTTTTAACCACATTAGTATGTTTTTCTTCCAGGTTTTTTTCTTCTTGTGCATACAATTCCATCCTCCCTTCTACGTTAGAGAAGTCTTTTTTTTTAAGAGTCGTCTCGTCCAGACATGGTGGTGCACATCTGTAATCCCAGCAATCTGGATTGCTTTGAGCTCAGGAGACCAGCCTGGCAATATGGGGAAACTCCATCTCTACAAAAAATACAAAAATTAGCCATGCGTGGTGGCATATGCCTGTGGTCCCAGCTACTTGGAATGCTGAAGTGGGAGGATCACTTTAGACTGGGATGCAGAGGCTGCAGTGAGCTGAGATCGCACCACTGTACTCCAGCCTGAGCAACAAAGTGAGACCCTGTCTCAATAAATAAATAAATAAATAAACATAAAGCTATAAAATAAAAAAGTCATCTCTCTTTGATTGGAGTAGATAGTTTGAGTACCTAGAAAAGGACTAACAATCCCCAACAGTTAGCATGGATTCACTAAGAATTAGTCATGTTAAACACCTACGTTTTCCTTTTAAAAATGAGGTTAGATAGATGAAGAGAGTACAATTATTTTAAGGCACTGGACAATCTCCTATGATTCACTTAAGGAAATACAAAGAAGTGCTGGACAGTATAATCAGATGCATTTGAAAGTTAATGAACAGCCTTGTGTGTCCATGCATGCATGCATGCATTCATCTATTCAACAAACATTGAGTGCAAGCGTACGCCAAATTCTGTGGTAAGCACTGATTTCAGAGAAAATATTATCTATTTATTTTTTTTGAATCCTAGGGTGTTACTTTTTTTTTTTCGTGGTGCATATTTATCTATTTATAAACCCAGTGCCAGCGAACCACAAAAAAAAAAGAGCAATAGATATAGATGGGTGCAGAGAAAAAGGCTTTGGAATTCAAATTTCGATTAAGTAGGCACTGAACAAGGGTTGCTTCAAGAAGTAACATTAAGAAGGGAATTTGGCGCCAGATTTTGAATGACCTTAAAACAATAGGAAAGCACTGAAGGTTGAGATGGAGTTGCCCAGGCTGGAGTGCAGTGGCATGATCTTGGCTCCCTGCAACCTCCACCTCCTAGGTTCAAACAATTCTCCCACCTCTGCCTCTCGAGTAGCTGGGACTACAGCCGTGTGCCACCACGCCTGGCTAATTTTTGTATTTTTAGTAGAGATGGGGTTTCACCATATTGGACAGGCTCATCTCGAGCTCCTGACCTTGTGATCCACCTGCCTCAGCCTCCCAAAGTGCTGAGATTACAGGCGCGAGCCACAGCACCTGGCCAGCACCAAAGGTTTTTAACCACTGTGGTGATGAGATCAGATCCATGACTCAGAAAGACAATGGGAGATAGGAATCTAGGAGACTAAATGTAGTCCTGGGGAGCTGAAGGAAGTCAATGCCAAGGACAAAACTGACAGCCCGCTCACGCGGGAATTGGTTGTAAATTACAGGTAGGAGAAGAGGGAGATGAGTAGTTTTGTGCTGAGCTATGTCCTGGTCCTACGTAGATGACAAAGTAGGTATAGCAGATTAGCTAAGGAAGAGTTCAGCCTGTGAAATCAATGGTTTGAGAAGACAGACCCAAAGAATGAGACATGGAGTCAGTTTCATACAGAGCAGTGCTTCTACTTAGGGCAAGTGGGAAGATTTTTCACAGTAACACTTGTCTGGACACCCCCACAGATCTGCTAAATCTGAATTCCCTGAGATAAGCCTGTGCATGTGTATACCACGGAAAAACAAACTCTCTAGGTAAGTGTCATTTAGAAACATGGAGCATGTTTCTAAAGCTTTTTCCTACCCCACACTTTTCTCTTGTCAGTGGAAAAAGGATTTAGTAATTACAAAGAGCTGGCAAAGAACCAAGTCCTAACCAAAGTAATGCAATCATACACAGTATCAGGAATCACAAAATGCAGGTTGAAAAAAAAAAAAGTATTTTTGTAAATACGAATGTAAGAACAGTAATTCAAAACTAAATACAACTCAAGGCAACCCTGTATTCACTGATGACAGTGTCCTTAAATTTTCTAGAATGTCGTGTACAGTAGGAACTTTGCAATGTTCCAAAGCAAATTAGTGGTAACCTTTTTAGCAGAATATGTAATTAGAACACCACTCCTACCCCTACCTGAGAGCAAGGTTCTAGTACAGACTTACTGTGTTGAATGTACTAAGTGCCAAATTTTAGCAAGTTTTAATACATCTCTTAGTGGTTTCTCGTAGGTTATAATTGTTCAAACCAAAAGAGGGCTAATACTTTATTTTTCAGAAGTAGCTAGTTGGATTACCAGTGGACTGCAAATAAAATTTGAGAAATGGCTTAGAAAAGAAGGCCTAAAAAGAACAAAATGTATATAAGAAGTATTAAGACAGTCATGCAGAAGTGGAAATAAAAGACAGCTGGAGTCACAATTAGGATGACAGGACGACTGATAGAGGAACTCATCCTTCAGGTCAATATGTAGAAGAACCTTTAATGAAAAGATAGGACTTTCAGATAAGTATGCAGAAATACCTTCAATCAGCCACTTCATGTGTCAGGGAAAGGTGTTTCCTGAGAAGTCCTCAGGTCCTGAATGTGGATGACCAAGAAAAGAATAAGAAAGCGATGTAACAAGTAGGTGACTATTCCTACTGACCATCAGCACACACAGAAATCCTATCATCTATAACCTTCTCTACGGTCAAGAAGACTTATTTTGAGACATCTGATAGCCTACCCATCTCTCACCCACACATCATAAAAATAAACAATGCTGGAGAAGCATCCCAGCAACCTGACCACAGCCGGTCTTCCCCGGACACCATGAACCACACTATCCAAACCTTCTTCACTCCCGCCAGCACGGACCGTCCCCCGAACTATGAGATGCTGAAGAAGGAACATGAGGTGGGTGTGCTGGGGGCGCCCCACAACCCTGCGCCCCCAACATCCACCTGATCCACATCCGAAGTGAGACCTCTGTGCCCGACCATGTCGTCTGGTCCCTGTTCAACACCCTCTTCATGAACTCCTGCTGCCTGGGCTTCATAGCGTTCGCCTACTCGATGAAGTCTAGGGACAGGAAGGTGGTTGATGAGCTGACCGGGGCCCAGGCCTACGCCTCCACCGCCAAGTGCCTGAACATCTGGGCCCTAATTTTGGGTATCATCATGACCATTCTGCTGATCATCATCTCAATACTCATTCTGCAAGCCTATCAGTAGATCCAGAGGAATCATCCCGGCCAGGGGCTCTGCCCGTGACCTGTCTCCCACGAACTCCAGCTTCCATTCCTCGCCCTGCCCCCAGCCAAGTCCTGTATCAACCCTTTACCCTCACACACTTTTCTACAATGGCGTTCAATAAAGTGCATGGGTTTCTGGTAAAAATAAATAAATAAGTAAACAATGCCAGGAGGCAATGTGATATTCTTCCTTTTTCCCTTTCTGATCACACTCTGCATTCTGAATGTTGGGATATTTCTGATTCAGAACAAGCCAGTGATTCTTTTAAATTTAAGTGGAATGGGTTCAGGTGCAGTGGCTCCCGCCTGTAATCCCAGCACTTTGGGAGGCTGAGGTCACTTAATGTCAGGAGTTTGAGATCAGCCTAGTCAACATGGTAAAACCCCGTCTCTACTAAAAATATAAAAATTAGTCAGGTGTAGTGGCATGTACCTGCAAGCCGAGCTACTCAGGAGACCAAGGCAACAGAATCACTTGAACTCAGGAGGTGGAGGTTGCAGTGAGCCAGGATTATACCACTGCACTCCAGCCTGGGCAACAGAATGAAACTCCATCTTAAAAAAAAAACAAAAACAAGTCCATATATATGTATATGGAATGTTTCAAAAAAAAAAAAAAAAAAACCCCACTATAAATTGAATAAAACCATGGAGGTCAATGTTCTGTGATTTCAGATTCATTATGTATTATTCAATAAAGTAGGTAAACCTATCTTATGATATCATGTAATAGTTATCATAATTAGCCAATCCTTATCTTCACTCATTTTATATTTATTCTACATCTATTAAAATTTAACTTATTTCAATTTATGATGAAAATTTTAAAATGTGTGAGGCAGCACATAGTGTTTTAAACTTGTTTTAGGGGCATATGAGCAAAACCCTGAAAATCACTCCTTTTCCTAAGAAAACTCCATAAAGCCAATTTCTTCCTATTAAGTACCACACTTAAGAGGTCCTTTGATCTCTTAATCATCCCTTAATTTACATAGTATCAATTGTTCCACTCCATTCTGGAGCCATTTTTGAGGGGAAAAAAGTTTCCACCTCTTTGCAAGAGTTACTATGTAGCAAACAGTAAGCAGAGAGAAAGCATATAACCTAACTCTTCCTAATAAGTGAAGACTTTGCAAGTTAGATCCTCCACCTCTTCACAAAGTTACCTGTAGCAAACAGTAAGCAGAGAAAAAGCACATAACCTAACTGTTCCCAACAAATGAAGGCTTCTCAAGTTAGACCTCAGCAAAATGGAAAAGAAAAAAAATCTTTTGGGAGACTGAGGAGGACATATCAGCCGAGGTCAGGAGTTCAAGACCAGCCTGGCCAACATGGTGAAACCCCATCTCTACTAAAAACACAAAAATTAGTCAGCATGGTGGCACTTGCCTGTAATCCCAGCTACTCCCTGGGAGGCTGAGGCTGAAGAATAGCTTGAACCCTGGAGGCAGAGGTTGTGGTGAGCCGAGGTCACACCACTGCACTCCAGCCTGGGCAATAAGAACAAAACTCTGTCTCAAAAAAAAAAAAAAAAAAAAAAAAAAAAAGAGGTGTAATGATATAGTATCTAAATGTGTTCAGTGCAGTGCCTGGCACATAATGGGGAACTCAGGCATTCACAGTTTAGACACTGAATGATCTAAGACACACTAAAAACTGAAACAAGGCTGAAAGAAATGGGACAAAGTAACAGTGGCTGCCTCTAGAAAAGAATTAAAGGTGTTTCCTTTCTGACTTCTTTATAATTATTAATGTTTTTATTTCGTTTCCTATCACTATTTCTTATCTTAGAATCAGGAAAATAATTGAAAGCTAATAAAATGAAACAAAAGGTATTCTGTGATTCTTCACATTATGGGAGCTGACCTCCAAGAATAGGGATATCCCCAACCCACACATTTTTATTTTACTGTCAATGGTGGGTGGCTGTTTACAAGTAGCTACACTAAAACCTGCTGGGAGGAAAGTCTGGCTGCAGACCAGGTAGAAGCACAAAATCCCCAGGGTCTAGAACCAAGCTGAGTGTAAGAAGTTAATATTACAGAGCAGACAGAAAATATTTTATAGGCCAAAGCTTTACAAAGCTGTTCCAAATCTGTGAGCCACAGTTTGTTTTACATGAACTGTGAAACAGTTTATGATAGAAGCATCATTAAAGGTGTCATTGCTTTCAGAAATTACAAAAAGTGTTGATACTGAACAAATGATCTTCAGAAAATAATAATTCTCAGTTTAATGTTTGTTATAGCCAGTGAAGCTAATAGGGGTTTTCTGTAGTTATCCTGGCCTTAAGTGTTCAGGATCCACCTAGGGAAAATTATTAACATAAGAGACAATTGTGAGATCACTAAGACCACAGATGCCTGATATGTTTTCAGTGCAGCCAAGTTTTCAAGTGCATTGTTTTACTGATTGAATGCTGTATTAATTAATATTCAAAGAAGAGGATGACTGGGGCCATGTGACACACCCATCAACATTCCACCAGCCATCCAAGCCTTATTCAAGCCCAGTTTTCCTTTTCCGAATCCCACATATAAATCCTACTCCCTTACCTGAGTTGTCTATTGTGCAAAAGATCATAAAGGGTGGCTGCAAGGGTTTCACAGTTAAAGTATGTAAAGAATCTTAAAAGAAGGCCTGCAATCAGTAAGCAGCCATATATTAACTGTTAGTATCATTGCTTTAGGACAAAGAAAATCTACCCTGCTGTCTAGGTGTGGTGGTTTACATCTGTCATCCTAGCGCTTTGGGAGGCTGAGATGGGAGGATCACTTGAGGCCAACGGCTCAAAACTAGCCTAAGTGCTGGGCAGGGTGGCACATGCGTGGCACATGCCTGTAGTCCCAGCTACTCAGGAGGCTGAGGTGGGAGGTTCGCTCAAGCCCAGGAGTTCTGGGCTGTAGTATGCCGATCAAGTGTCCACACTAAGCTTGGCATCAATATGGTGACCTTCCGGGAGCGGGGGACCACCACCAGGTTGCCTAAGGAGGGGTGAACTCGCCCAGGTTGGAAACGGAGCAGGTCAAAACTCCAGTGCTGATCAGTAGTGGGATAGCCACTGCCCTCCAGCCCGGGCAACATAGCAAGACCCCATTTCTTAAACAAACAAACAAACAAATAAAAACAGCCTAAGCCACATAGCAAGACTCCTAACTCTACAATACAATAAAAAAATTAGGTGAGGTGGTACATGCCTATAGTCCCAGCTACTTGGGAGGCTGAGGCAAGATCGCTTGAACCCAGAAGCAGAGTTTGAGATGACAGTGAACTGTGATTGTGCCCCTGCACTCCAGCCTGCGTGACAAGCAAGACCCTGTCTCTATTTAAAAAAGAGAGAGAGAGGCTAGGTGCAATGGCTCGCACCTGTAATCCCAGCACTTTGGAAGTCCCAGGCAGGCGGATAACAAGGTCAGGAGTTCAAGAGCAGGCTGGCTAACATAGCGAAACCCTGTCTCTACTAAAAATATAAACATTAGCCAGGCATGGTGGTACATGCCTGTAGTCTCAGCTACTGGGGTGACTGAGGTAGG